TCTTGCAAAGCAAACCTGCAGCTTTGTGATAAGGTAACTATGCGCTGAATTTGCTTCAAGGCATTAACGACTTCTTACTGAGCAGCAAAGCCCTGCCCCTGACTTCCTTCGCTGTGAAACCCACATGCTGTCTAGAGTATTAAGTGTTCGATGTTCCAGCTCATTTCGAATTCAGGGGATTATATCCTAGCACTCGCAAATCCTCAGCTCTGCTCCTGCACGGACGACCGAGCTGAAGATGGAAGGTAGGCTCTTTCCGTCTCATCTCCCTACCTGAGCGGTCGTCTTCCAGTTTAGAAAGGGCTGTGCAGTGTCACTCTGTCGGGCTGGCATGTCTGTAGTTTGGGATGACATATTGCCACCAAATAGCACCTTTTGACATGTTAAGTGTTTGTCTCTCTTTTGTCTGGGCCGCCATTCCTTCATTTCTTTTTTCACAAAATCCTTTTTTGTGAAAAAGGAGTGTCTCTGCCACATTAAGTGCTCCTATCATCTTGCTTTGTGTTTTGTAATGGCCATTGTACTTCAGTGCATGACTTTCTTAAGGGTTCCTGATAAATATAGGATTTAAAGGCTGGGTTCAGGAACACGTGATGAGACTACAGCAGAGCACTGTATTACACAGATTTTCTTTTCGAGGCAGATTGTGTTATTGTAGTATGTTAATTATAGAATATTTATTCTCTGCAATTTTTCCTTAACTGGATCATTGTGGATTGACACATTTTTTCTCTTAATGTCAAAAATCCTTAATTTGCTTACATGTTTTAAAATCCTTAATAAGCTATAAATAACAATTTTCCTGAATTTTTATGCACCCTCTTAAGATTAAGGGTGGCTAACTAACAGACAACTAACATGTGTACCGTCCAGATGCATATTCTGAGAAATGGGTGAGGTTCAGTTTTGTCACCTCAAGGGGAAGAACAGCCTCAGAATGTGCAACAGCGCTGGGCCAACCTCGTGCCAAGGAGCTCTCGGCCCTAACGAGCTTTAATAACGGCCCACCAAGGCTGTCGTGGTAAATACCACTCGTCTCCTCCGAGGGCTTTGTTGGAAGGAAAGTTTGTGGTTCCCAGTCTCACTGGAGAGCAGTGGGCCTGACGCTCAGATTCTGATAATAATCTGGTTCATGGGGCTGAGCAGAGAAAAGGAAGATGACTCACGTGGCTGTGCTTTGCCATAGTTATTTAAAGGCACCACTGTTAACAGCTGGAGGGAAGAAAATCAAGAGATGTGTGTTTCTTTCCTGCTTCTAAAAGATCTCCGTCTTAACTTCTTTTTTTTTTCGTTAAACGCACATGACCATGTCCTGTGGCTGTTTCCTGACTGACTTCATTAAAACACGACCTCTCTGTTCCTCGGCCCTGCTCGTGCTGAGCCACAACTGGATGCTGCTTTTCTGTCAAATCCGATGCGCTTCAGACCGATCAGGACAACTTGTCTGTCATCAGCTTCAAGAGTCTCGAATAGTATACTGAATAACTGAAGATCAGTCAATGGTTACTATTCATACTGAATTGCTGAAAAATGTCAGTTTGAATACTGTCAGGAACGTGTGGGGAGGAGTGGTTGAGTCCTCTCAACTCCCAGCTGGAATGTTACAGGTTCAAATCGCAGAAAGGTTGCGCTCAGAGTTGTGGGAGTCTGGAACAAGCACAGGCCAGATGAGTTAAATATGCTGAGTGGCCTCCTTTCATTTGTGTGCAGAGCCATTTGCGGAGGGTGCGTGACCGTATGTAAGGAGGTTTGTGTGTGCGTGGCTGTATGTGAGGAGATGTGTGCGCGGGGTGTGCACGCTGGTCGCCGTTTGTGTGTGTGCGCGTGGTTGGCCGTGGCACGAGGGGGTGTCCAGTGATCCTCCACCTGGAGTCTTCAAGAGTTTCCGTGTCTCCCGGTGTTTCCTCTAGGAAGCAAGCATGAAGATGGCACACAGAGTGACTCGGAAAACGGGGCCGGGAACCAGCTCACCAGCAGGAGGGCGGCGCTGGAGGAGCGGCTGAGGAGCGCCCTGAGTGCCAGGGGGCAGGCTGGCGCCAGCGGGGAGGGCAGGGGTGCCGAGGGGCCCGTGCAGAGCAGGACAGCCTTCATGATCGAGTTCTTCGACGAGGAAAACCCCCGCAAGCGCCGCTCCTACTCCTTCACGCAGGCCGGGGGGGGGGTTGTGGCTGGGGAGGTGCCCTGCCCCGTGCCCCCCCCCAAGCCCAAGGGAGTGCCCTCCCCGCTGCCCCCCCCGGCTCCCCGCCCGCTCCCGAAGCAGAGGTCCGAGGACACCTGTGCGGTCCGGCTCTCGGCCAGCGTGGGGCAGCAGACCAGCCCCGGGGAGGAGGTGGACAGCGCGGCCAGGCCGGGGGGCCGGGAGAACGAGGATGACCACAGCGATAAGGGCACCTACACCATCGAGATGGAGAACCCCAACCCAGAGGAGGAGGAGGCTCGCCAAATGATTGATAAGGTAGGCCTGGGCAGCCGCAGAGGTGTCATTAGTTGACTCATTCAGCAGGGTACTTTCCTAGAAATACAGGACATGATACTCTGTATGGCCCATCTTGTTCCTTTTTTAGTACATTGAGCTTTGCTTCTAGTGTATTGGTCCCAGGACTCAGGTGTCCCACCAGGATACTCTCACTTGTGAGAGTCCCTCCGGTTTTTCAGTCCTGAGTTCTTGTTGATTTTCACTTTAGCATCACCTGCTGGCTCTGGTTTACAGCATTTAGAAACCTGCCAGCCGAGCTGATAAAAACTAAGACCACAAGTCTCTCCCTCCTCTCATTTGTAATCTTTTGGCCGATTTGGCTCGTTGGTCGTTGGTAGTAAATTGATCTGAGGTCTCTCAGGAAACGTGGGGATGAGGTTATGGATGAGAGGTGAAACAAGGTCATCTTGGTTTCAGGAAGAAGGTACAATAGAATCCTCTAGAGCAGTAGTTCTCAAACTTTTTGGACCAAGTACCACCCCTGATCAAACCAAAACATCCAAGTACCACCTACAAGTCATCTTCTCAGAGGAACCCCAGAAAATCTCAAAGACCAACATGAGCGCACATGCGCACACACACACTCACATTCACATATAATGAATATTATTATAATAAACTTTGATTTAAAATATTTGATATAGCGCCTTTAATGATGGCTTCTCATAGTGCTTTACAGAAAAAAAACAGGAACAACAACATTTAAAAATAAACAATAAACAATAATCTTCCAGTGACGATTACATGGGGACTTGCCTGAGGTGCTCAAGATCCTGCAAGTCACTAGCCATGTCATCTCAAGTGTCTTCCCCAAAAACAACAGCAGTGGAAAGACCCAGAGACCAGAGGAAGTGGAGTTTAGGATCATTCTAGACGGAGCACAGGAGAAACCCTTTGCTCAGAGGGTTATGAGATTCTGAATCCAGCTCCCAGGTCATGTGGTTGAAGTGAACTCCTTTGGATGCTTTAAAAAGTGATGATATATTAGAGCTTTAAGCTGCTAGTAGCTAAAGATTAGGTGGATTGTCGTCACTTTGGTAAATGTGCTCTGCATGAGACCTAGAATCACACTTTTAAACCTTTATGCTGAATAAACCCATTAACATGTGATCCAGAGGATACACTAAATACAGTGACTCCATATCCGCCATGTTGGTGCATCATATTTTGGATTGTTATTATTTTACTTTTCCAAATATATGTGCTGTATATAGAGCCGTTGTTGATACTTTTATAGTGAAAAGGAATAAGGTAAACAAAACCCTAGCATCATAGCACTATAATTTAAAGGTATTGAAGGTTAGATCCAACAATGATAGATTGTTTGCTATCATTGAGTCCCTGAAATGTATCATGAGTGCACTGTAAAGCTGTTTACAGTGATCTGTCTCATTGATTTAAAATGTGTCATTTCACCTTCAACTCTTTGAGTGTTCTGGGGGATTTCAGGATAAAATCAATTAAATTACTAAATTCAATTTCTCCTTAAATTTAGTACTATGTATTACATTTGTCTGCAGTTCGTGGATGGTAAAGTGCAGGTTAAGATGCTGATGAGCTGGGAATTTGCCTGAATTACTGTACATATCATATTAGGACAACCAGCGCTGCAGATGGATGAATTTCCTGACAGGGTTTCCCCGAGTCTCACAAACACAAACCAGTTGTGTAGAATTACCCAGCTGTGGCCGAGCTTCCTGAGATAGCAACTCCCACTTGGCTAATTCTGAACCCTGTTTTTTGTCGTTACGTGTGAACTTGCAGTGTTATCAGTAAGAGCTGCATTAGTGCTCCTGCAGTGTGTAGCTCTGCTGTTTGTGCGGTGGGCTTGAAGTGTTATCAGTAAGAGCCGCGTCAGTCCTCCTGCAGTGCTTTAGTCTGCTGTTTGCTGTGTGATATGTCGGTACAGGTTTTGCATTTGTGAATTGAAGTGACCTTCAGTCAGGAGTTGCCGTATGTTTTCTAACGTTTCTGAGCATACCTAACCACTTCTTCCTGCCACATTCACAGCTGAGGGCTCTAGAATGACTCTCTAGCATGAATGAAACCACAGACTCTTAATTACAGGGCTGGCAGAGAGCTATAAAGGGAAGGAGTCCTTTCTCATCTGCAAGATTGAATTAGCTGTTTCTGTTAGCCAAGCCCATTCCCTACACTGGCCTGCAGTGTAAAATACCGTTTTGTCTTTTTTGTGAATTGGCCCGAAATTCTCATCTTGGATGTGTCGGCTATATGTCAGCTTCCAGGAAAAGGTGTCTGCTAAGGTTATAGTAATTTTAATTGAACATCACCCTTCAGTGTAACAGCCACTGCCGGCTCCTCCGTGCACGTAGAGGGTGGAAATACGACTTGTTTTGTCCCCTCAAAACGTGAGCCGCTGCAGCGGATTAAGAGGAAGGTTTCAAAAGGCAGATCAGTCAGCTCCTCCACAGCTCTCCTCTGGTTTCAGCCTCAATGCCCTGCAGTCGCTAGCTTTCCTGTTGCTTTGCCACCCCGGCTGCGTGCTGTAAAACACTGGACTGTGCTGCCGAAGCAAACCTGTCCAGTTCTTGGGGTTTTAAATGTTTGCCATTCTGGTGCTGCCATTGTGTGCTGCAGTAACGCACAGTTAAAACACGGTGGAGTTGTTGATACTGCAGATTTTGGAGCGGAACGAAGTGAGTTTAGTCATTTTTTGTCTGAGGTCATTAATGACGTCCAGTTTTACCCGGGGATTTTCTCTCTTCCGAAAGAGTGGTGCTCTTTGTGCCTGGTGATTTCCCTGTCAGATCTGTCGTGAGCTCGTGGTTGACAGCCCTGTAAGTAGTTCTGTGGGCTAACTTGCTTGCCTGGATTTGCCCAGCCTCTCTGTAGCTGTGACATATCTGACAATGTCAAAACCAGCAGGTCATTTCACTACTATTATTCCTTCCAGTGTTTAGAAACAGAAGACAGGTAGGCTAGCAGGAGCTCTGCGAGGCCCTTTGTGTTCGCAGCTGTACTAGCAATTAAAAGGCTTTGTTTCAGTAAGAGAGCAGCTCGTAGGGGTATATTGCTCTGCAGTGCGTCGTCGTCCTTTGTGTGTTGTGCTTTGGATTGAGCTGCGTTCCCATGGCACCGCACGACCTTGAGCGCGGACTGCGTGAACGGCCCGAGGAACAGTAGGGCCCGCCTTGTGTCGCGCTCGCCGCCCCAGGGAAGGGTGGGAAGGGTGCTTGTCTCACGCGGGCTCCTGCTGCCACAGGTGTTTGGAGTGGAAGAGAGCCGGGACCGCTCCCGCCCTGTCGTCCTGGAGCAGCCGGAGGGGCTGACAGACTGGCTGTCCGCGGCTGCCGGGGACCCCAGGAAAACCAGCTTCATCGGCTCGGAGGTGAGAGTCCCTTCTGGACACGCAGTGCTGTCACAGGAGAACGTGTTTCATTTACCTTTCCAAGCATTAATAGGACTGTGGTTTATGTTATTACTACCACATTTCACAGGCTCTTCCTGTCCACTTTAACAGCTTTCAGAGCTGTAATTAACCATCATTGAGCTGTTAATTAACTAAAGATACTCCTGGTCTTAGAGAGCTGGAGGATCTCCTGGTTTTCCCTCCTCAGGGGCTCTGATTGTCTTAAGTGGTTCCAGCTGTCTCTGTGCTCTTACTCGTTGAGGAGGGCCAGCTCCCTGGGTACCTGCAGGGCTGGGCTTCTCCCAGTGCAGGTGGGAGGGCACTGCAGGTTGATGACAGGGGACTGCTCAACCTCGGGGGAGGAAGTTGCCACGCAGCACTGATTCCCCAAGTAACAATATTGTCACGTGTAGATACACCTGTAGTTGTCCCTCATGAACAAAAGTGCAGAAGTGCTGAACAGAAAGCGGGAAAGC